ATAGAGTTTTATATATTATTATTAAGAATCCTAATGATTTAATTTAATTTTATTTGATTTTCAATTCTTAGGTTTATATTAAATTTATTATATGGATTATAACCTACTATCATTTTTAATAGAGTTTCGAATCTTATATGAAATTATACAAGTTTGTTTAATTTCAATTTTTGGAACTATGATTATTATAAAAATATATTTCAATATTATAAAAAAGTATTTTAATATTATAAATTTTTATATAACAATAAATAATATAATAAACAATGAACTATGGGTCTATAGCATAGTAGTAATGCTCTATAGGTCACCAAGGAAAGGTTTAGAATTCAAACCTACCTGGTTACAAAAAATTTACTACTTTTATAATTGATTGACTGGCTTCCAATACATGTTATATCCAATCAGTTGAAAATAAAGTTTCAAATTTAATTAGGCTGCATAAAAATAGGACCTTTGATCTTTTCAATAATCACAGGCTAAAAACAGATTAAAGCAAGAAAGGTTGCATAAAGAAAGGCTTCTGGTTTTACTCTTGTTACAAGCTCATATTCTTTCTAATATGACAGACTCCATAATAAGAAACATGTTAATCTGATTAGGCAACTTAGAAGAGAAGTATTGAAAAAGAATATGAACCTATAAAAGCGAAGCCCATAGCAACTTTATAGAAGTTGCATCCTGCTTGATATTCATATCTCTATATTTGGCAGCTTAAGTTAACAAAGAACCTATAAAGTGTTTACTGGAAGATTTAGAAGTCACATTCTACTCAACCTGATGGTCTCCAGATTTGGTAGTGTGTACCAACTATAGGAACAATTCTTGGAGCATTTATTAGAAAGTATAAAGAATATAAGACTTGAGTACTATAATATCATAAGCTATAAAATTGCAAATATAATAAAGAACCTAGTAATTATTAATATGTTAAAATTAAGGTTGAACTCTTATTAAGCAAAAACTAATGTATAAATACACTTAGGGCTCTTAACAACACTATTTCAATATCATTTCAATATCAGTTCGATATTTAAATTTACTATAAAAACATATGAGTAGGTCACAATCTATATATTAAATTTACTATAGATTGGTACCATTTCGATATTAGTTTGATACCAGTTTGGTACTTTTCAGAGCCCTAGATATACTTACTCAATACAAGTTAGTATCCTGATAAAAAGAATAAGGTAGGGTCAGTTAACATTAGTATTGGTTAATAGACTGTTTATATGTAATCATTATTGATTCAATAAAATCTATATGTATATCACATATTAGCCCTAAAAAAAAAAAATAATAATAATATAATAAACAATTTATATAATTATAAACATTTGTATTAATTTTATTATTTTTTTTTAATATAATTAAAAAAAGTTTATTTTATTATTATTATTTTTTTTGAAGGAACAGACAGTTTTCATACTTTATTTTTATTTATACTTTTAGACTTGCAGTACAAGATTTATAAATATTTAATATAAAATACATTTCTCTTTGCCAAGAAAAGTTAAAAACTAGACTTAACCTATGTGACCCTTCTACTTAAGCTCCTTAGTATCATCCAAGAATATAAAAAAATAAAATTTAAACCCTATATTAAGTCTTGAATGATATCTAGTTATCTAGAGAATTTTGATTATCTAATTACATGAAGGTGCTGCAGCCACCATATACAGGTGAGCCTCCAAGTCATAATTAGAATTGGCACACTTGCTTTTCAAATGTGGTTTGATGTACAATAAGTGGAAAATGTGTTCTATATTAAACTTTATCTGAATAACTTGTTTAAACAGCTGAATAGTCATTATCTTAACTGAAGCATCTAGTAGAGATTAGTCTTTTATTCAATCACCTAGTATTTGATCTTCTCTACTCTTCTAGAATTGCAGCAGATTACAGGTTATCCAAGCCTGTAACAATTGTCTACATCTGCGGCAAGTAGGAAAGGTAATAGCTATTCTTTACAAGAAGCTTTGTACATATAGCTGCACTACTCAAGTATTTGGATAAGATCCAGCATAAGTATAAGACAGAAAAAAATGAAGAAGAAATATTAAATATATATTGATAGTTGTTAAAGAGAGTTGTTAAATATAATGGAATAGAAGTTTTTTATAAATATTGTTATCTAACCTTGTATACCGAAACCTGTATTGTCAAAAGAGTGGATGAAAAACTTTCATTATCATTACCAGCTTATATTGTGGGGATAACTAGAATTCCTGGTTTTTATATATTATTCTACTATGCTATCCAATTACTAACATAACATCTATAACTAAACTAGTTGTATTGACATTGGCTACCATATCACTTTGGATTATGGTTCTGAAAATTGAAATCAAATAGAATTATAGGAAATCACATAAGGTTTGGAACATTATTAAAAATGATGGTGGAGTATACCTTACCTATTAAATTTAATATAAATTTGAGAATCAAATACAGAATCGAAAAGAATTATTAGGATCCTTACTTTGAATACTGTGGGGCACAACTCCTTAGAGGCTTCAGATAATAATAGTTGTACACCAGTTTTTTAGATGTATTTAGTTTAATAATCAGCAGATACCATAAATTGCTACATAAACTATCTCAGGTTTGTTATTTTAAACCCATATAAAAATTAATTTAGACCCGGGATCTTTTATATAGACAAGAATCTATTATTAGAAGAATCTATTGTATAGATAATTATAGAAACCAATTAAAATTTTTTTAAAATAATTTTTGTGTTTTAAAAGTTTCTTTTTTATGTATATATATATGTCTATTGCTCTTATAAGTGAGATTTTTTGAAATAAAAACTTTATTATATTTAAGTCATTTAAAATAAATAAAATTTTTATTAACTTATAAAAATATATATTAATATTAATTTTCTTTATGACCTGTGAATCCATAGTATAATGATTAACACTCTACAGGTCAAATCACAAGATACCAGTTCAACCCCATATAAGGACAGTTGAATAAAATTAATATGATATCTGGCGCCATAACCTGTATAAGTGCTGTTTCTCATGAGAAGCCATTTCACATGCTAATCCAGCAGGTGTTAAGATTGTGATTTCCAGAAAAAATATCATAATGCAATGATTGTCCGGTTGGTGTTATGATGATTGCCAAAAGTTGTAAGGTGTATGAGGTGTCCACTTTCAATAAAGATAGATTGGTGATCATTTCCTTGTGGTACCTGATATCTCTTCTTGCAAGTTTCCAAAAAGGTCTTATTCCAATTCAGTAATAAATCACTTCGACAGTTACTTATCCTAAAAAGGCAGCCAAAACAGCAGTAAGTACCAATAGCTGAAACAATCTATGGGTTATAAGTCTATGAGATAAGTTTCTTGAATGTTCTTGGGTAACTTTAAGAAGGTAGAAATTAAATGGTACGCCCATCTGCAGGTGGTTAGGTTTAGAAGAATTCTCTTTGCAGTGATTCTATTTGCCAAAAATAGGTACTACTTCCAGTTTCCCACATTCAAACTTCTCCTTAAAATTTCACAGTGCCAAATAGAACATAACGATATAATAATAATACTAATGGGACTTTGGCACATTAGCCTCAGTACAATCCCTCTGGGTGATACTAACAGCAACAAGTCAATATGAAGTAAAATTGATATAGTCTAGCGATGTGTAGAATTGTTCATAGATAGTAGTTCCTATAATACATAAAATACATATATGAATAAAATAATAAAGTACGCTAGGCAAGGCCCAGCTGGTTAAACACAAAAAAAAAAAATTAATTTTCATTATTTTATAGATGATTTATAATATAAGTAATCAGAAACATACAAGTATAACTCAAAAAAAAATGAGCCTGGAATGCTTGTAAAAAATTAACAATATTTACATATTTAACAAAAAATCCTAATGCTACAATTCAAAATACAACAGCAAAATTTAAAATACAACCTAATCAAATTCGAAATTGGTGAAATAAACATAAACAATTAAAAACTGCTTCACCATATATCAAATATCTTAATGTAGGATTCCAACCAAAATATCTTGAACTTAAAGAAGAATCAGTAATTTGGATTTGGGGAATACATAGTCAACAAAAAGCTGTTACTCATTTTATAGTATGAAATAAAGCCAAAAATTTAGTTAAAAAAATACAATATCTTTTAATATCTTTATTAGTTAGTAAATGAAAGTAAAGTGAAAAATGATTAGATAGATTTATGCGCTGATATAATCTCAGTAACCATCATTATACCACAATGGCTCAAAAACCACCTGAAAATTTAAAAAAAGTTTAACAAGAGTTTTTAAGTTTTATTTTATATTGCAGAATTCAATATAACTATTCTGGAGCACTTATTGGAAATATGGACGAGACTCCAGTATATGTTGAAATGCCAAATACAGTTACAATTGATGAAACTGGAGCCAAGACTATTAATATTTGCATATGTGGTTATGAAAAAAGTCATTTTACGATTGTTCTTACTTGTTTGGCAAATGGAATAAAATTATTTTCTATAATTATTTTTAAACTTGTTAATATTTCACATTAAACTTTTCCAGAAGAAGTTTTGATTCATGCAAATAAAAAAGAATAAATGAATACTGATGAAATGTTATGGTGAATTGAGAATATTTGGACCTGTTGCAACATGTTAACTATGCATTCACGATCTTTTTTGATATTAGACTTTTTTAAAGGGCATTTAACTAATTCAATTAAATAGCAATTTAATAAATATAATACAATTATAACAATTATTCCAGGTGGTTTGACTTCAAGATTACAATCTCTCGATGTTGCAATCAATAAATCTTTTAAGGCAAAAATAATTTTATTTTACATTTTTTTTTATTTTTATATATAATAATTAAAAAAATATATTTATTAGATTTATACACTTTATCATAAATGGATATCTAAAGAAGTAAAAAAATCAACTCCTACCAGTTATATACAATATCCTATTTATAGTACTCTTGCAAAATAGATAAATATTGTGTGGAAAAATATGGATTCTATACTTATTCAAAAATCCTTCAAGTGCTGTAATATCTCAAATATGTATGATAGCTCTGAAAACCATCTTATATTCGATTACAATAATATTATCAACAACAGATCAAAAAGTACAAACTTTATTTTTGAAGAAAATAATAGTGTTAATAATGGAGAAGGTTCTTTGACAAATCAATTGTTGGATAGTAAAATTCAATTTGATGATGATCCTAGTAATAATGACAAAGAAAACGAAATTGTTGATTATTATGAGAAAAAATCTATAGATCACAGTAATTCTTAGGAATATGATAATTAGAAAGATCAAAAAATATGAAAATGTAATTCAAATTCTAATAATAAAAATAAATTTCAATAAAGTTGAATAAACATTCTGGCTTTTTTATTTTTTAAATTATACATTTTTCTTTGATTTATTTTGCTTGAATTCTAAACTATTTATTTTAGAAATGATGGAAAAAACTATGAAAATAGTGTACACCACCTGTGCCTAGAGAGGAGAACCAATTGCTTGGTTATAGTGTAATCTTTTGCAAGACTCACCTCCCAGTTTGATCACTGTAATTTAAAACCAAAAGTTGGCAGCAAAGAAAAGAGTATGCATTATTATTAAGATAGACCATTTAGCATACAATCATTCTGGTCCTCGAAACATTACTATTTGATAAACAATACCTCTCAATGAGCTTTTTGTAGAAAATAAACAACCATTTTCAAATTCAAATAGCATGTGTGAGAATATGCAGCCATGTTCACACCTTGTAGAGAGTATACAGTTGCACTTAAATCATTAATGAACTGTTGGGATATACTGTTATATTCATTTCTCAAAACAGAATGACCTTTAAACATCCTTTTTTGTTTTGAACTGCATGATCCCTTGGGTCAATAGCACTCTATAACTATTATATATGCCAGTAAATTATAGGAGTACATTGTCATGCTCAAGTTGCTAATAAACTAGAAATATACTACTAGCATTGAAACAGAGCAACCTTGGCATATGAAGAGAAAAGTGGGGATTTAGTAAATCAAATAAGATTTCTGGAAACATTGTCATAGATAAATAAGGTCTTTTAAGTGGTTGTAATCTTGGAGATTTCTGAAAATTTGTTAATGCTGATAGAAGCTTATATGATGTTTGAGCCGGCAGAAAACCCATGAGCATTCTTACTTCTAAATGCAAGTGTTATCAATGTATATTTGTAAGAAAATGATAAATATAACCAACATGCCTGGTGTAATGGTTACAGAATATTTCCAGTATCATTCCAAGTCATAAGCGTATCAGATGCCATACTAGACCTGGAAAACAATTAAATCAATTGTTGCTAAGAATATTGTTCAAATTTATTTTTTATAAATGATACAGGAGAATTAAGTGATAGCAGTACAACTCCTAAAAAATAAAAAATCTATCGAACGATCTAATTAATAATGTGTTAGGAATTGACACACAATAATTAGGGCTGCTTACCTCAGTCAATTAGGCCTTTCACTATTGTCGAATCCTTCATAATTTTCACCATCATCATTTTACGATGGTTAATTCTCAAATATAATTTTACTTCTGCTATAACATTGTTCTTGATTGTTGTAAGTGGAATATGCTAGAGAATTAATGGCAGAAAGTGATAGGCGTGATGGAGGATTTGGTATTCATGGCTGAAAATTTAACAATTATAATTTAGTATTTCAAAAAAAAAAAAAACACATAAAACACAATATAATACCTTTGATGACATATAACAGATTAGTAATTTGAAGTTGGTTTGTGGACTAATTAAGAATAAGTAACCATCAATTATAAATAAATAGCCTTAATAATTTTAAAAAGCAATCATCCATTGTTTACTGGTCTAACATTAGCTTTCAACTATCAATTTTTATTCTGAAGAACCTGCAATTGACTTAACATGATAACCTGAAAGTTGGATCTTTTGTGAAAATGGCATAACACTGGATCAGATCAATTACTTTTTCATGTCTTCATGTTGAAACAACTAGTTTTTCACCTTATCAAGCATTTGCTTTTGCTTGATCATCTTATCTTTTAAAAATCCCAATAGGAAGAATGTATTTGTTTGCTGAAACTAATCAAACAATAGTCAAACTGTGATACAAGATGACATTAATTAAAGAACAAACTAAAAACAAAAAAACATCATTTTTTAACATCCTTTTTTGTTCTGAATTCTTAAAAAGCATAGTCCTGAATATACATGTTGCTGAAATTCATAGATTCTTGACGCAATTGACGCAATTATTTGACATAATTAATTGAGTCACTATTAAAACATATAAATAATTAAGTCATAACACAATTATTTTTAAGGATTTTGGGAATTGAGTCAACAGCAAAATAATTTATACCACATGTATAGTCCTGAATATACATGTGTTCATATTTAATTTAGACATTTTCAAAAATCATATTATGTTCATATTACTAAGTAGCAATTAGTAAGTACTGTATACTACTGCATATAATACCCCTCTCCAAATACTACCCCCTCATTAATAATACCGGATAGTATTCAAGAAAATTGTTGCTTGATAATTGATTACTACCCAGGTATATTAATATAATAATAAGTAAGACAATATTATTTTGAATTTTATAATAATGATATATCCTGCCACTAATACTACCCTCTTCTAGTAAAATACTCCCCGGGTATTAATCAATTTATTAGGGGGTAAATTGATTAATACCCGGGGTATTGTATGCAGTGATATATGATAATATTTAATTCGGAATTGTATTGTTGATCAAATTTCCTTTTATGGTAATAAGGAAACATGTATAGTCCTGAACAAACACCTCTCTAATATCATTTAAATTTATATATTGTGAAGAGTTCACAATTGTGTTCACAAAGATTTATAGTGAAACGTAAGAAATATCTATCCTGTTCAACTGTATCCAAATCACTAACACATGAAAAATACATCACCATTTTCAAATTATTCCTCTTAGCTGATTTTTGGTAATATTCAAATGCCTTTCTTAATTTCCATTTTATTTAAAATAACTATAGTCAATACTATACATGTGTTTGTATTTAATTCAGATATTTTCCAAAAACTATATTATGTTTATATTACTAAGTAACAATTAGTAAGTAATTGAAAATCATATTTAATTCAGAATTATATTGTCGATCAAATTTTCTTTTATGATAATAAGGAAACATATATAGTCAATACCAAGTACTCATATCACACATCTCAGTAGATTTTTGATAATACTTGAATGTCTTATATTTATCCCTTTTCAAACCTTAATTTCTTGCAACCATTATCAACTCAAGATATTTCACTATTTACTCCTGTCCCAGTTGATTTCCGAAAATATTCAATGCTTTGTGTTTTTCTCAGAATTTTGATTTTGATAGTACTTGAATGCTAAGTTTAACCATAATTCTTTTATTGTAATCACATCTTAATTGATTTTTTGTAATCTTAATCATCTTTTTTAATTTTATTCCATTGAAATAGCAATAGTCAACAAGGTATGTTTCATCTGAGTCACCCATTTCAGCTGATTTTTGATAATATTCAAATGTTTTAAGTTTATTTCTTTCAGCTCCAATCCCATGTTTATTTTACAGTAGTAATGGAAAAAATTAGCAGTAATAATAATATATTTAAAATGCTAGTTGTGTTATTACTTAATTAAATAACACGAATTAATTTTATTTACTTTTTTTTTTCGTTACATAGATTATCATGTATAAAAATCGTAACTGCGACAGCCTCTTATTAATTTTTACAATGACATTATATCATATAAACTTTGCCTTAAAGAATGTCACTCATTAGTTAAGTTGTTATGGAAAAAAAAAATACAAAATGCTAAAGAATTACATCAAATTATCAGGTTCCCCATATGAACATTGTTTAGGTGGATCACTCAACTAAATAGAACAAAAGATTTACAACAAAAAAATTGTCCAGGCCATTATAAAATTCTTAGTCCAAACTAACAACATTATTTTGGTCAGCTTGCTCATTCACATGCCAATGCGACAAGTCTAGAAATAACAAACACACTTAATAATACCTATTTAGATCTTAATATAGCTAGTCATACAGTTCGAGAAAATCTTTGGAAGCTTGGTTGTCATGTATATACCTCCTGAACTACTCCATTTTTTACTGCCATTGCTAAAAAATAAAGGGTTTTGTAAATGAAATGTCATATATGGGAAAAATGAGAAAATACGATTTTTTCTGATAAAACAACAATACAAATGTTTCGAAACATCACCCTAGTCCATTATAAAGCTAGAGAAGAAAGACCAACATGTGGAATTGTCAAGCATTCATTTAAAGTCCATATGTGAGGATCTTCTATATATATAAAATCATCAGATTTCATTTATTTACAGAAAATATGAATGGTAAGCTGTATCACGAAATTTTAACAAATAATCTTTTTAATCAAGCTCAGCAGATTTTTGGGGGTCATGAAAATTCCAGCAGGACAACGACCCCAAACATATGGCAAAGCTTATGGTCTTCCTTGAAGATCAATGTTCCAAAATTCTTGATTGGTTGTTATATTCCCTGGATTTGAACCCTATAGAAAATATATAAGCAATTTTAAAAAAACAGATAGAAAAAAGAATAAATAAAAAAATTAGTGAAAAAAAAAGGCTTTTCAAGAAATTTTTATAGAAATTATTAAGAATGAATAAGATAATATAAATCAAATACTTTGATTTAATTTAGTAAAGAGTATAAAAAAGTGGATAGAATTAGTAATTCATAAAATTGGTGATGTTATTAAATATTAATAGTTTATATTATGAATGATATAATATTAAATTATTTATATTTCAAATTTGAAGTAATTCTAATAAAAATTGATTAAATAAATGAAATTTTATTTACTGCCATTTTTTTCTGCCACTACTGTACTAGCATTTAAAATAGAAGCCTTTAACTCCAGTTCTGTTGAAATAAATTGTTTGTTCCTTTTAGCTCCAATTCCATATTAACATCATATGAGTCAGCCCTCTAGCTTGTTGCAACAATATCAAACCAAAGTGATCTTGACTTGTGGATGAATAGATTCAAATAAATTGTTGAATAGTTGTGGCAACAGAAGAAAAGCACAAACATTTAATTTGACCTAAAATTCTAAATTATATATAACTATATAATAGACCTGGGTCTTATACTTTTTACCCTTAGCTGGATCCAAGTTACAGACCCAGGTTTACTAAAAAGAGATATTCTATAAAAAAAATGGTTTATGTGGCAATTTATAATAAA